CCACCGTTATAAATCTGTTGTTTGAAGATGTCAACAGTTGCGACTTCATAGGTTTTGAAGAGTAGATGTTGCTCTATCAGCTAGTGAAGGAATCGGGTCGATTTAAGAGATAGTCGTTGAAAACCAGAGTTCTAAAACTTTACGCCATTTCTGCGTGTTTTTTGACTGTTGAGAGTTAAACTCTTATAAATCTTGAATGTGGAAGTGTATCATGTTGCGACTTCATAGGTTTTATAGAGTAAGGTTTGCCTTATCAGAATATGTCTTGTCCGTTCCGATCCATTGAAACACCTCCGAGATCCAGAGTCATGAAAAAGCAGGTAAAAAAGAGCTTTTTGAACTTCAACAGCTCATAACTTCTTCAGAACTGCATGAATCATGTTGCGACTTCATAGGTTAGATTCCTCTCATCAAGGGCTTTCAGATGATATATAATATGTGGGGGTTTAGAGCCTCCTGCGAATTATGACCGGGGGGGGGGGGGAGACTTTTTAGGCCAAAGTCTCCCCCTCGCCCATTTTAATGTATTGGCTGGAGGCTGCCGGGGGAGACTTTGGCCTAAAAAGTCTCCCCCCTCGGGCATATGCCGTAAGAGGCGCGAAACCCCCACATATTATATATCATCTGAAAGCTCTTGACGAGAAGAATCTAACCTATGAAGTCGCAACATGATTCGTGCAATCCTGAAGAAGTTATGAGCTGTTGAATTTCAAAAAGCTCTTTTTTACCTGCTTTTTCATGACTCTGAATCTCGGAGGTGTTTCAATGGATCGGAACGGACAAGACATATTCTGATAAGGCAAACCTTACTCTATAAAACCTATGAAGTCGCAACATCATACACTTCCACATTTAAGATTTATAAGAGTTTAACTCTCAACAGTCAAAAAACACGCAGAAATGGCGTAAAGTTTTAGAACTCTGGTTTTCAACGACTATCTCTTAAATCGACCCGATTCCTTCACTAGCTGATAGAGCAACATCTACTCTTCAAAACCTATGAAGTCGCAACTGTTGACATCTTCAAACAACAGATTTATAACAGTGGAAATTTCGCATGATTTTTCACTATTTAAATATTCAAAATTCTGGTTCTCCGCCGTTACTGCCTGGATCGACCTACTTCCTTCGCTATACGTTATAGCATAATTTGCTTAATAAAATCCGTACAGTTTTGCTAAGCTTTACTTCCAAATACACCATTTACTAAACACGTCTATTTTAAATTTTTATAAATAAAATTTATAGATATTTTTAATATTCATCGTATCTGTGGCCCTAAAGAGGGCCGTTGGGTCGACGTTAGACCTAGAAAGATAGCTCCGTTCGTCCGTTCTATCCTCCCCCCGCACCTCCCCCCCCCCCCCCCCCGTCGACGTTTTTGGGAGGTGAGTGTCCGACACTACCACCTTCACTTTTGGCCGGCCAGTGGTAGCTGAAACCACCTTCACTTTTGGGGGACCCGGCTCCCTCTATCGCACCTCTGATCACAGTGAAGTGGAAATTTCATATTCGAAATTAGCGGCTTCCATTACCATAGTGCAAGAGTTTCCGGCTTGTTTGGTTTTGTTCCGAGGCAGATTATGGCCTCCAAAGACCTAAAATCCTTGTCGAAGTTCCTACCGTAATCCTACAGTAATAAAAAGAGATTGGCGATTCGCTCTATACTACAGATCTAAGTTAGACCTCGCTCTATAGAATGATGCCTCAAGCTCGGCGAAAGACATATAAGCAAGGGAGTTATTAACGATCAAACAGTGTTCACATTTTTTTGGGACACCCTGTATATATACTTTGTTCTTTTTTTGAGCCATACACGAGATTGGTAATTGATTTATTCAATCCACGGCTAACGTTTCGGCAGATCGCCTTCGTCAGAGCCTGTAAAGAACAATACGATCCGCAGCCGATTTAAACAAGCCTTACAGCTGAACAGGCGGAATGCTAAACCTTGTTTTCGACCACTGATTCAGCTGCACTCGAGCACGTACCTTCTGGATACGCCAATACTACTCTGCTAGAGGAAAGTGGAGGTCACGTTGTCCACTGCTAGAGGAAGATGGACTTGTTAGACGTGCATGCAGATCGTTATTTATATATACACCAGATCAAAATAATTGATCTAGATAAGGCGAGAGTTCATGCGTAATTGCTAAGTTTTCCTCTTTCCGATTCATTTTTGGGCATCTTGCATGAATCCAAAACAGTGCCTAGGGGTGTTGATGTACGTGCTTTATCTCTGCCGTCTAGGATGCACTATAATACGGATACATAGTGGACGCGCTGTTTCACCAATGTATTCATCGCCGCAAATCGCGCATAAAATCAAGTAGATGACTCCAGCTGCTATGCAGTCCCCTTCTCTGCCTGCAGATCCTCTAAATACTTACGAGCTTGCGTTTGGGACTCGTAGGCCAAGATTCTCACTGAAATTTCAAAGTTCGTTCCTGCATGCTGCACTATGAAGCTCCAGATATCTGGATTTCACGTTGTGTACCTATCCGTAAGTATTCCCACTATGAACAGGTTGAACAGGAGCGAGAAGCTGTACGAACCGCATTTTCCAGCTTTTGTATGATCCCTGATGATCTCCGGTGCTTTTCTTTAAAGTCATTTTTCTTTCTCCAAAGTTGACGAAAACCTTCCAAAGTTGTACTGAACATCTAACACAACAGTGTTAAGCATGTTGCTGATGAGAACAAATAAGTTTTTGAAAAGTCGAAATTTTCGGTTAACCTCAAATTTGAACCTGTGGATCATCGAAAATTTCTTGACTTCAAAACATCATTTGTTCTTATCAGCAACATGCTTAGCACTGTCGGGTTAGATAATACGCACAACTTTGGAGGTTTTCCGTTAACTTCGGTGAAAGAAAAATGACTTCAAAGAAAAGCGCCGGGGATCATCAGGGATCGCAAAAGCTGGAAAATGTGGTTTGTACAGCTTCTCGCTCCTGTTCAACCTGTTCCTAGTGAAGGGTAGTAGGAATATTTACGGATAGGTACACAACGTGAAATCCAGGTAACTGGAGTTTCGAAATATAAAGCTTTCTTCTAAGCTGCGATCCCCTCCTCGCGGCGATGTTAGTGCATGCGGCCCTTATGCCCGTATGCACGTACATCCCCGCTGGGGAGGGGAGGGGATTAGAGAGGGGATGCGTCATATCTCGCTACGCTAAAGATCATTCTTCTTCTTTCTATATCTTGCTTATGAAGGCTCTCATACCCTTATACTTGCACATGTAGGTAGCAGGTTACTGTCACACAAGAGTGGTTTTTGCCATTTTGTGTGATCCCTTGGGGATTCTTTGGGGATCCCCAGGGAATCACCTCTCATTTTCAAAGTCATTTTCCCAGAAATTCAATAAGAATACTGCAAAATTTTTATCAGGATATACTGCGGCACTGCTAAACATGTATATAGTAAAAATAAGTTAAATCACAAGATTTCGAAATCTTCGAAGAGCCACTGCTTGTGAGCTAGGGATTATCAAAAAATTCACAATTTTTAGATACCATTTCTTCTGTCAAAAACCTGCTTAGCAGTGCCGTAGTAACTCCTCAGTACAATTTCACAGCGTTTTCATTGACTTCTCAGAAAAATATATCACTCTGAAAATGAGAGGTGACCAGGGATTTCCAGGTAACCCCCCAGAGATCACAAAATAGCAAAAACCAATTTTGTAGGGAGTAACCTGGCACCCATATGCGCAGGTATAAAAGTATAGGGATCTTCTGAAGCAAGATAGAGAAAAAAGAAGAAAGATATCTAGAGTAGCAAAATATGACGCATCTCCTCTCAAATCCCCTCCCCTTTTCAGCGGAGATGTACGTGCATACGGTCCTTATAATCTACGCAGCTAGCATGGCGACGTAAACGATGCGGACGGATCCCTATATGTTGTGGGCTGCCTTCACCCAAGCATCAAAAATAACCGAAGCGAGCGACACGGGATCACTTTAAATGGGTATGCATCGGAAAACGCCTTTTTAAATGTTATCCCACATCTGCACTCTTCTTGATATGGCCTGATTCGTATTCACCCCTCCAAAAACTCTGTCATTTCGTTTTTTCTGAGTCTCAATTGTCTTTAACCTTTGATTCAACTGGCTTGACTCCGTGGGCGGGGTTTAGTGATCTAATTGAGGCAGCTCGCGCCGGCGACGCACCTGCGTCTCTCTCGCGCGAGTGCTCTCTGATCATTACCTAGCCATAATTAGGTCACGAAGCCCCGCCTTTACCGAAGCCAAGCCAGTTGAATCAAATGGTAACTAAGACACTATCAACACGCAATCGGTGGGATATGTGACTCACATGGTAAATCATAGTAATTGAAATGGCGTCTACTCCGAATAAACTCTCTCCGAAACTTTTCTAGTGCTAAATTCAAGAACAATATCCACGTATTTCGGAAGCCTTTTAGCGTTACTGTAGTTATGCTGTGAATAACAGCCTCCTCATTTCAAGCAAAAAATTTCAATCTGTCCACAAGGCAGACAAGTAAGACTGGTAACTGACTAGTAACTCAATCATTAAGTCATAATAAAACTATTGCAAGAGAAGAATGGGAGGGAGTGTCTAATATCAGGGGTAAAGTATGTTATCTGTGTGCTTAGCGTAAACCTCACATTCCGACTGAATTTGGAAGACCACTTCTGCATGTAGTACATATCCCCTTCTTATGATGCAGACGAACGGGTGCGGGCTGGTTGGACCTTGCCGAGTATCATACCTCAGGCGGATATTTTTAATAGTGAAAAACCGCCCGACTTCAAATCGATCACCCAAAACTTTGCCTCTTGCCTGACTTTCTTTTTACTCACCTTTCCATTCTTTTAATTCTGATTAAAGTTACTTTGAATGCTTATTTATTCTTAATGTGTCACTTTTGTGCTAACCTATACAAACTTAATTGCCAATAAATTCATTGTTGAATGCGCCATTGGATAACGAGAAATGCTATTCAAGACTCACTTTAGCGTTTGATTCAAACTCGTCCACTAGCCACAAAGTTCAAGCATAATTTTATCATTTTGGAAATAACACGAAACACTCACGTCTGTGGTGTTGTAAAGGTGATACTTGAACTCGTCTTTATTCTTAACTCCTGTCAGATTCAGCTTCTTCATAGCAGTCTGCTCTCGACAGTTTCTTATAGTATCTCGAAAGGTAGACCAGAGCTAAAAGTGGATAGAATCTAAAAAACGTTAATCATGCGAATCTATTCGCTGAAATAAATTAGATCACTTATATTAAACATTGAACTACTTTCATCCTAGTGTGTAACTGTAAAACTAAGAGTATATAATTTTCACACGATGCGTTGCTCAATATTGCAAACACTGTCATAATGGTTACTTTTGCTGTTCCATTTATTGCTAAACCAGTGCTTCACCTCTGCTTCGCAGAGGCTCGCACTGGCCATCAAGAAACGATGATAAACTTACGATGTGAAAGCTTTCTTTTAGATTATTGCCAGGTTCACTGCGGTGAGATAGTTCCTAATTAAAAATGAACCATACTCGCTATCAGAACCTCACATGCTGCAGTATATTGTAAATCATTCCTTATTGTATTTTCGTAACAGACAGACTTACAGACCGACAAATAAGCGGCTTATTATAAGTCATGATGTTTTTACAATGCATAATCAACATAAGGTACTTCTATCAACACAAACTCAGTGCTCGACTCAAATAATCGAGATCAGTTTTCTTGACATGCAGACAGTACGGCGTTCGCACTACAAAATAAAAACAAATGCACATATTATAGCATAGCAAAACCATTTGAATATTCAAACCAGAAAAGCATTCCAAAGGCTTTGTTAGTTCTAACGAGTGGCACAAGAATAAGTGAAACAGTCGATTAATCGGTTGAGAGTGACCTAGCAACACTTTTGGATCTTTCTCACTATTGATGTATGACTGGGTGTAAGATAATGAACATTGCAACTAATTGTTTGAGTACACAGATTTGAGGTGGAATGGCATTGTAGATACAAATGTCCAAATCAGCTAGCTCACCTTTTCGGGATCTCCAAGGAGTGGAGATAAAATATTACTCATACATTTGTGCCACTCATCGTAAGCCTCATTTATCTCAGGAGGAAGGTCGCCTTTGTACTTGTACAGAGGTGTAGCTCCCTAAAAATTTAGGAATCTAATATAATTGAAAATTGATGATGCAGTGGAAAGTACGAAGAGTTGGATCTAATGCTCACAAGTATGCTGATGGAAGCCGTCTTCGACCAGTCAGTCGTATTAAACAGGAAAACTATGCATAATATTGCCACAGACAATAGCAAAACACACTGAAGTGAGCCTTCAATAAAGTTGAAATGAAAGTTTAAGCACCTTGTGTTACTCTGATCTTTTGAACTGTCAGCCTATAATGCAGAAGTAGCTAGAGTAAACAAAATTCTTTGTCACCACGTAAGCAAATAACCGCTACATTGTTCTTCTAAAACACAGAAGAATAAAGAGCTCATGTTGTACATTCAATAACCAATAAATATGATTTTGTCAATGATATTGTCATCTAGTATCGACTCTAAGAAATATTCTCAACGAAACCTATGCATAGCCAAACAAACTTGCGGCGGGCATATTGTCCATGTCTGTTGATGACTGTCAATACTTAAATCTAATTTCGAAAGTTCATGAGTATGCTGATTTATGTTAATTTCTTTACGTTTTTTCGATCTATATAAAAACAGAAAGTTTCTGGGTTGAAAGCTGTGTCCCGGCAAAATTTTGTTTGCAAATTTTTGAACTTTTCAAAGCCTTCTTGGCATGGTAGTCCACATCTGGGTTTTACATTGAAGACTGCAACAATGATCTTTTGCCAAAGCTTTCCAGGTTCGCATTCAATGGAAAGTACGTGTAATTGGGCTGAGTCAGAAATGTTATAGGCGGGTGCGGAAGACCTTCGGCGTATTTCCACTGTAAGCGGGCCCGAAAAGTTTCGGAGAAGGCTCATTTCCGCCATTTCCATGCACTGAAAAGCCTAGAAGTGGGTTCTCAGGCCCAAATAAAAAAACTAAGCAGCATTGCAAAGACGCTCCCTTTGAAGATGACCAAACATTTCAAAGATTCTTGCAGTTATGCTTCCAAACGTAGGTGCGATAGCGTGAGAATTTGCTCACCCCTCTTTACCCCTGAGCCGGGACCCCCTTGACCCCCCTTCACCCGAAAGTCGAGAAGAAACAACAACAGTGAGGTAAGCTCAAGCAAAGGAGATATTTGTACGGGTATTGTTTGTGCATCGGAAAGGATTAAGAAGATTTATAAGCATTCATATATTTCCAGGAGGAAAAAATAGTAGCTTTTGTAGCTGCACAGCAAGTCAGCGAGGAAACCCACAATCTTTCCATCTGGTTTCAGGTAATAAATTGTTTGCCTAAAGTCCGTTTATAGAAGTGCCTTTTGAAAGGTTTGCTTAGTGATTTCCGGACACTTATGAGTTTTCAACATAAAAAATCATATGCTTTGGAGATGAATAGCTGGTATACAAGGAAATAGTAACCATCGAAACCGCCTCGTCCTCCGTTTTCAGACGATATATAGTATGTCTAAGATCCGTCCAAAAAACTGTCTGGGTGAAGGGTGTGCTCAATGATTTCTGGAGATTTCTGAGTTTTTAACATAAAAAATTCATGACCTTTGTAGAAAAACATCTTCTACGCCGATATGAACATCTTTAGAACCGTGTCGTCCTCCTTTCTTTAAAGAGGAAATAGCCATCTTCGGGACCGCCTCGTCCCCCACTTTCGAAAAATATACAGCATGTCTGAGATCCGTCCAAAAAAAAAACTGCCTGGGTGAAGGGTGCTCAATATTTCTGGAGATTTTCGAGTTTTTAAAATAAAAAAATTCGTAATTTTTGTAGTGAAGATCTTGTACGCCGAGATGATCACCATCGGAACCGTCTTGTCCTCCGCTTCCAGAACATATAACTTTGCCAGGGTTCCGTTGAAAAAGGTGCCGGGTGAAGGGTTGGGTAATACTTTCATAATGGGAGCGCTCATGTAGAGGGTTTTTACCATTGTAAAAAGGCGTCTACTTGAGAACTCCTCATTATGAGAGCCTCACCCACCCTTCACCCGGCACTTTTTTCAACGGACTGCTGGCAAAGTATAAATTTTCTGAAAGCGGAGGACGGGACGGTTCTTATGGTAACCATCACGGCGTAAAAGATGTTTATCTACAAAAGTTACGAATTCTTTATATTAAAAACTCGAAAATCTCCAGAAATCACTAGGACACCTTTCACCCAGGCATTTTTTTAGTAGACCCTAGGCAATGTATAATATATACTTTCTGAAAGCGGAGAACGAGGCGCTTCCAATGGTGGTCATCTCCATGTACTATCTGTTTATCTTCAGAAGTTATTGATTTTTTTATCCTAAAAACTCGTAAATATCTAGATCACTACCCACACCCTTCACCAGGCACTTTTTCAACAGACTCCAGGCAAAATATATGTGATCTAAAAGCGGAGGACAACAGGTTTTAGAAATATTTCCCCTGCTGACGTTGCTCTTCATCTACAGAAATCACGAATTTCCTTTTTTAAAAAGTACGTAAATGCTTAAAAATTGTCTGACTCTTTCCAAAAGAAATCTCCCCTCGTGCACATTTTCTATGGTAATTCTTCTTTTGAAAACATGCAGAAAGATGTAAAAAAGGGAAAAGGAAAAAATGTAAAAAAAAAAACAAGGTGCTGGTCAGAAACGTTATTGTGTGCTGATCCAGCAGCACATCGGTTCATCAGAAAAAAGACAACCAGTGATGGCGAGGAATTGAAGATTATAAATTTTGACTAGGAAAAATGATGAGAAAACACCATGGTTTCCCTCCTATATTCCCCCCCCCCTCGGCCGACATTTTATAATTTCTCTACCAGTGGCCGTATTCATCAACAAACCCAGTGGGTTATACTACCCAGTGGGTAGCCTCAATCCATGAAACCGGTATTCACGAAGCTGCTGGGTAAGCGAACTCAGTGGGTTAAGTCTACCGCTGGGTCGGCTAACCCACAAAATGCCGCCATACCAGTATTCACAAACAGCTTCGATGGGTTAGCCTACCCAATACCGGTATTCAAGAAACTCCTTACCCAGAAATCGTGGGTTCCGATACCCACTTTTCGTGGGTAACTTCCTACCCAAGCACACATCGAGAATCGCAATGGGTAACAAAGGATTGTGGCCTTTTCTTCAAACGCTGTAGAAGTTTCAGAAAGAAGCAATGGCTACCGGCCGTAGTATGTCATACTAGAAATGCTAATGTTCCTACTTGGATACTAAAGCCTTTTTTCATAAAACCGTCAAAAAAAGGTTTTATAGCAGAGAACCAATTTACTAATTCAATGAAAAAATCGAAACATTAGGTTGAACAAAAGTTCTGTCGTTTTGATTTCGAAAAATTCATAGCTGCTCTTTATGTAAATGTAATTGCTCATGAGAAAGTAAAGAGAAAACTTTGGTTATCTTCAGGGTTAAGCAAAAGGTCAGGCACAAATCGTTCGGAAACGACCCCCCCCTTCCAGGAAAGCCCCCAAGCGACCCCCCCTTAATCCTCTCCACCTCCGGAACCTCAGAGAGTGTGACATTCTGGAGAAGACGATCTGTCCTGCAGAGTTATTGAATTTTGGGAGACTGTACGATCGCTTTTCTGTGATTGAACATTACAAGTACACGCAATTTGACGGCGGATTTTGATGCGAATCGCCCTATTGAACGAGCCAGAATTTCTCCAGGTGGAGTGTTTTGCTCCAAATTTTCATTGAGGCAAGAAAAGGCTATGAGCTCAATACTCATACCAGGAATGTACTGAATTCCGAATTTTGAAGACAAGTTAAGTGGGTCAGGCGCAAGGCTACAAAAGCTCAGGCGGCCTGACCTTTTGAGGGGTTGCGCCCGACCTCATTGAGTTCATCTCCGAAAACGCTTTTTTATCCAAGTTTTATGTAATTCGCTAGCACAAACCACGAACATTTTACAGTAGGTGTTGAGCTTAGCTCGAATTGTTTCGGCTTTATGGTAATCCGCGGAGTTGACGCGCTCAAGGTGTAAAACGCGATGTTTAGAATATCGGCAGTACTTCCTAATCCACTATTTGAAAGCGATATGAATTCTAATTTCTAATATAGACTGATAGGGAACATTATTTGTTGAGAGTATAAAAAAGCTGACTTCTTTCACTTTTGAAACCAAGTTAATCATGTATGAAATTCAGGCTTATTAGACGAACGATAAGAAACGCTAGAAAATGTAATAGGTAATGGTCCATAGTGCTAGTAGAGGACTGATATGCTAATTACGGACACTATACAATTTACAAGCAAGCTTCTTTGGTGACCTTAGTAGGTCAGGTACGGGATGGAGAATTGAAACTTGGCTGAAACTTCGATGGAGTCAATCAATATGCTGGTCACGACAGGCATTCCCTCAATTCTACTGGAGTTGTGATATGCATCGGTCCACAGCTTTTCTTCTTAACATTACTCGATCGTAGTATTTCCCTACTTTTAAACGATCTCGATTCTTGATTACGACCCCCCCCCCCCCCCTCCTCTTGCTCTTACCACCAATACGACTCCCCCAGGTCGGGCGCGCCTAACCTCACGCTCAACCCTGGTTATCTCCTAGAACATCTTCGAAGCTCCTGGCGACAAGAAACTCTATACATAGAAATTCGAATGAGAGAACCACCCTAACTCCTGATTTTTGAAAAGCATTTGTTAAAAATCTAAACGCTGCAAAAGAATTCAACGCGGTTCTTGAATTCACGTAAGCTGCTCTCTATAAAAGTGCTACTTTATGCTGATTTATCTATGAAAATCATAATTTTCAAGGAAAATGCAAAAAAATGTAAAAAAATATTTTTGTCGATTTTGCGTTTTCCTCGAAAAACAGCTTTGTACAGAAAAGCTCAATCAGCACAAATTCGGGTCTATTAGAAAGTACAGCTTACAGTGGCTTTAACAAACATGTCTTCAGATTTTTCTGCACCGTATTTGTGACAATTCATTTTCGAAAATCAAAAGTTGGGATGGTTTTCTTATTCAGATTTTAATCGACAGAGTCTATTTCTATCAAGAGCTGCGAAGATGTTTTTAGAAAGTAGATGAATTTTTCTTCCTGATGAAGTTTTTTGTAAGCAATTATGTTCACATGGGGAGCAGTTACGAATTTTTCAAAATAAAAGCGACTGAACTTTCGGTTCAAGCTACCCTAATTTCATGCGTACAAGTAGCACCTTTTTCGATTTTTCAAATATGTAGCACCTTTTTCGATTTTTCAAAAAGCCGCTCAACCGCTTCAATGTGTTTCGAAAAGCGAACCTTAAACCGTTCAATTCTCTCAGGCAATACGAAGCCCGGTATAGGGTTCTTTGGTCGCGAAGTGTTGTGGCGTGTTTGGGCTGGCGGATTTTAGAAAAAATCCTCCGCGCCTTGTACGCGTGAAATTAGGGTAATTAACGTCACCATTCTCCGAAAAATTCAAGACCTTTTCAAAGTGAAAATTGACATTTTTGCAAACAAAAAACTCTTTGCTATGGAGTTCATCAGCTAGCTCATCTTAGAGATTTTCTAATACTACTGCAACTAC